TTTGTTCGCTTTCGAAGCCCTTCCACCCGCAGGACCTTGCGCAGCCGAGGCTGGGAACCAGTTGGTACGGTTCAGCGCCAGTTGGCGGGGGCAGATGCGACACCGACAGAAATTGGCCACCTTGGAGAACCCCAAGACCTCCAGGAATTGGCACCTCCCTGGCCTGAAGGAGCCCGCCAGGTGGAGCGGCGCCACGGTCAGACACTTTTTTTGCATGGTTTTTCCTGAAACAAATAAGTAAATATACACGGCGGCGGCCGACCCACCAAGAAAACCGAGAGGTATGCTGTTCCACTGCGTTCCCACTTGGGTCGCTCTTTTTCAAGTGCTCGTGCTACTCGATCGGTCGGACATTCAACAAACGTTCCCTTTGTCTGAAGTGTACTGCCCGACCCACGCACACATGTATGACTTATTTTGGGGCAAGCGCGGTGCATTTCCATGCCCTCTCGTTCGTTGTGGAGGCCAGCTTACTTTATGATTGATCGCGTCGGCGCACTTGTTGTGGAACCCCGGCGGCAACTCGTGCCGCCTCAGACTGCACTGATAAATGAAAATGCGAATGCAATGCTAAGGCCAGTCGTCTCTCGCAAATCCGTCTTGGCTTCGGGATTTTATGGCTAAAGCGCGGTACCTATTCCAACTGATACATGCAGCGTGGCAAAGTTGAGAAACCGCGTCGACGCAGTTGGTTCCAAACTGTTTCGATTCCGTTGTCCTCCACACAGTTGGTTCCAGACTGTTTGGGTGCCGTATTCATTTAGCTCGGCAGCTTGGGTTCCCAACCCGACCCTCCAAGTCAATTTCCGTGCCTTTTTTTCCTGGTGTGGAGGCCAGCTGGCTTACCGATTGATCGTGTCGGCGCACTTGCTTCTGAACCCGAGCGGCAATTTCTGCCGCCACAGACTGCACTGACACACGGAAATGCGAATGCAATGTTATTGTCAATCGTCTCACGCCAGTCCGTCTTGGCCTCGGGACTTCATACTTAAGGCATATGTATATAGAGAGATGTGTCCCGCGCTGGTAGCGCCGAATTTGCGTTTCGAGCGCCAGTATGGCGGCAATGCGGAAGTTGTGGCCCGCGAGGTCACCGACTGCCACAAAACATTGCGGAAATGGAAGCGCGGAGCTGTTGGGGAAAAGGGCGCCTGGCGCCCCTGGATTCGTCTCCGCGTGACCACCAAGAGATGACGGGGGCCACGGCCACGGGCTGGAGCGCCGACGCTGTCCGTGGCCACACCCGGACTCATCATGCCGCGACGCGCGTCCCTCTGTGCGACGGTACGTTTGCGCAGTTCCCTGGGCGCTTTGGGCGACCTTCCAGCAGGTGTGCCAAGTCGACCGTGCGAGCCTTCAGCGTGACTGCTGTCGGGGTGACTCCCCGAAGGCTTTGCTGTAAGGCAGTCCCCACGCAGGCGCGCAGCTCCCACAAAAACGGCTGGGACCAGGAACGCCCGCGGCCGAGCTGGAAGGCCACATCCATTTTAGCTGCCGCGCTGGCGGCCAAGCCGTCTGCCGGGCAGGCGCCCGAGAGATTTAACAATCATGTCGACGTTGTGCGACCTGTGGGTTTGGGGAGTTTTGCGGGCAGGATGCCTCAAGAGGCCCCCGGCGCCTTCCGGAGAAGCAGAGCGGGAGGCCGAGGAGAGCGGCAGGGGGGGGTGATGCAAGCAGGAAGGATGGCGTTCACCCTGATCATGATCAGGAGGGGAAGCGGGGTGACCGCGACGGAAGGGGGCGAAGTAGCGGCGCGAGCAAAAGCAGGGGGAGGAAGGGGGGGAAGGCGGAGGAGGACACGCCGTGTTCAGATAACAGAGCATCCCTATGATCCTGTGGCCCCTTTGCGTCCACGGCGCTTCGGACCATGAATTTGACTATCCATATCCAACCCACCAGAACAGTACAAGTATGTAGTTGCGCCTTGCTCACTCAGCCACGTGCTTTCTGCTCCTAGCCTCCCTCCGGCTAATCTCTCTCGCGCTCCGTCCTTCTCCCTCCCCCGTGTTCTTCCCTTCAATCCATCCTCCCGTCCTCTATTATACACGTGGCAGGTAAGGAAGATGTACCCCCAAGTGGGCCACCATCGAAAATTAAGAGGGCGGGCATCGAGGTTTTGGGATATACGCGTTGAACGGCACGTTGGAAGATAAGAGCGAAAACTCTGAAGTTGATGATTGTTGGTATTGTTGTGGTTGTTGTTCTCGTCGTCGTCCTCGCTCGCGACCCGCCCGCGACCCACCCGCGACCCACCCGCGACCCACCCTTAAATAGGGCCTGTCCCTCTACAAGGGAAATATTCAAAAATAGTCTTTAAATAGTCTGGGGACTATTTTTTGAGCATTGTTTGACCATGTTGGAGTATTTGTTGAGTATATTTTTATTCTTCGTTGAAAAGCCCCCTGTAGGGGTACACGCCCGACTTAAACCCACCCCCCGATCACCCCGCGACCCACCCGCGACCCAAACATGTTGCGTACACGGAAGAAGATCGGCGTCC